GATAGCTAAGGCTTCATTGGGATACCTCATATCTTGGCAGCACCATTGTCCTCCCTTCCCTGCCCCACAAAATGTTCCTTAAATTTCAAGGATGCCCCTTGATGTGCTCTAAGCACAGAGTCTCAACTCTGACATTGGAACTGGGACACATAAAAATCACATGACCTATTAGATGCAGTCTAGGGGCCATAGGATAATTCTGTAACACTACAAATGACAAGCCATTAATTATTTGGTGGCTCAAACCTGTTTTTAAAAAGTCATTGCAGCTTTCCTTTTTCAGGAAATGTAGGACAGATAGCTACTGTTGAAGTGCAACTTTCATTGCAGTATCTTGTATACCCCATGACATATGGAAAATCTTAAGGTTTTTGTAATATCATGTCTGTAGTCTTCAAGATAATTTATGTTAAATAGGATGAAATTGCCTACAAATCACCTAGAATGCTGACATGTCTTGTAATTAAGATAGGTTTAAAAAAAAAAAAAAACACTTTAATTCCCAGCTTGCCTCTGAATCCAGATTGGTGTTGCTCTTTATAAATTAATTTCCATTTTCTTACAAATTAGGGCCAACACATGAATTGGAAACCAGTAGTGTGGTTGGGGGTATGGTGAGTTGTACTCTTCTGACTGCAACCTAAGAAAGCATTTCTGGAGGAGAAAATCTCCTTGCTCTAGAATGTCAAAGAACTTTTTTTAATTTAATGGACACATATTTATCCATCCCTCAGGGAGATAGTTGAAACCTACATGGATGGTATGGTCTAGGAAAGATGGCACCATGATTATTTTATTCCATAAGTGCATTTATTGTTGCTACTCAATCTGACTTAACTAAAACTTCTCTCAGAGCTGAATAGAGTAGGCAAACTTAGCTGTCAAGATCAAAACATTGATGCTAAACTCTTATAACTCTGTTCAATCAACTCTGCAGGATGTTGATTGCAGAACTTCATCTTAGCCTATTAAGATTAAAGGGCATTCAGCTGTAATGCATACTTTATACATCCAAATGATGTTATGATTGGAGGAAGAGTACTATATAGCCATTTCTAGACTCCCTCAGTCTAGCTTGATAAACACATTATCCACTTTCATTGAAGAATTATAAGTTCTAGACTGAATATGAATATGTGGAAAAGGTTGTAGCTGAGTGGATCTGCAAAGTGAATTTTTATTGACTTATGTAACAGAGCCCTTTCTAGTTGGGCTGCATCCACTGGTGTCATTCTTCTAGCACCAATACTATTGCGCTGGCAGAAACTATGCTCCAAGCTATGTGCAAGTGAGAATCCAACTCAGCTTCTATTTGCACAGTCATTTTCAGATCATAGTCTTACAAAGAATTCAGCTAGCATTTGTGCAATGGGAAAAAGCAGCAGAGTTCCTTAAGGACATCTTTCTAGCTTGAAGGGATGGAAGAAAAAAACAAGCCAACCAAGTTAATTCTGTAGCAATATTCATCTTTCTGATAATCATCAGTAGAGGCAAGAATGGGTAGAGGGAACCTGTTAATCTTGTCATTTCCCAGTTGTCCAGTGAAACATCCTCTTTTGTGTAGTGTTCAGAGGTCTGAGTCATTTAGCACCTGCAAGGAAAAATGCAGAACACAACCATGAGAAAACGGTTAAAGCAAAACTGTTCTGACAGCACAGATTAGAAAATGCAGAGAAGCAGTAAGAATGGCACTGAATCAGTTGTAGTCTTATTGTACAAATAATGAAGCTAAAATTCTTCAGGTCATCAGTTACACAATGAACAGTGAATGGTTAAGTTAAAGGAAATTCACTTGAAGGCTGGCTTTCAGAACTTCAGGCTTTTTGTAATCCACCGGTATTGGTCTGAATATGGGGGCTTTCATTGTGCAGAACTGATATGTGACAATTTAAAATTGATTCCTAGCTATGGTGTACAGGTGGAGCCAATCTGGCAGAAATACAATTCTAGCACATTGTCACTTCTGGGAAATACATGGCAGCTGTAAAGTGACTGCTGTAAAGTAATTATGGATGTCCTAATCTTCAAATGAGTTTCTGCAGGTGGAATCTGCGAAAAGTCCATGGAGACTTATCCAGGTGTTTCAGGATGTTCATTAGAGGAAAAGTGAATATACCTATGATTAATAATACTAAGCTTCCAAACTGTTTCTGTAGCCTTGAGGATCATAATATATGATACTATTACCTTAAGACCACCTCCTGGAACATTTCTAGCAGAAAGATCCTTCCTTCACATGGCTAAAAACTGGATGGGTACTGATGCAGGCCTGCTGATATTGCTAGTTAGTTTTTATATACTGATTTATTAAAACATTTGTGTATCTAATGAGCTTCTCTTCACAATTTTTTCTGATCTGAAGGGGATATTACTAAGATAAACAGGGCAGGGATAAGCAACATGAGGCTCAGTGGCCCAAAGGCCTTCCATAGCCTATGAGCATAAGGTCTTGTGCTATATCTTAGCCATTTTTCTCAAGTGCTTTAACCCTCTCTCTTCTAATGCAACCCTAACCCTTGTTATGCATTGCAGCTGCTCAGTGCTATTCAGTGACATGGGGAAAAGAAAAGGCGCAGCTGGGGTTTGTTAAGCATGGCTTCATGTCCTACTTTATAGAGAACAGTTCTCTGTCTGAAAGGCCTGGTCAGTTAAGTCAGCATAAAGGGAGGGAACCATAAGAAGAAAAAGCAGAGATCATGAAATTGCTTGTCATGATTTAACACCTAGATATCAGACTGAGCAGGCAACCAGGTCAACAGATCAGACCTCCCTGTGATGAAGTGAGATACATTAAATTATAATAGTAACTTCTATACATATATTCTCTGTACATATTGCATTGGATTGCAGTTATGGACTGCCTTTTTTCCTCTTGCATGGAACCCAAGACAGCTTACATATACCTCCTCTACTTCATTTTGCCCTCACAACAACAACCATGTGAAGTAGGATAGGCCAAGAGTAAGTGTCTGGCCCAAGGTCACCCAATGATTTCATGGATGAGTTTTTCCAGGTCCCCAGTTCATCAGTGTAACCATCATGCTACAGTGGTTATACTTTGTGGTCTCTGTGCATCACACATATGAGGGATGAGCTAACTAGTGGGAACTAGAACCCTTTCAGGTCCCCATTCTTGCATTCTTAACCATAACACCACACTGATTCTGCTGAAATTTCTTCTATGCATATTAACTTGCAAGCAAATCTGTTTTCCCTTTTGTCTTCTATTTGTTAGTGTCACCTTTCTCTCCCTCTGGTCTCTCCGTGAATTTAAGTTGCATCCTCTAGCACTTACTTGCTTTTCCAAACAGTTAGCTGTTAAATGATCAAATTTATCAAACACAGAACATCTGAGTCTATGACATCTACACAAGACAGTCAAGCTGCCAAGGGTCTTACAAAACTAGCTCATGGAGCCAACTGGCAGAGGAAATAGTCAATGTAATACAAGCAGCAATTCAATGTATTTCATATGTGTAAAGAAATTACTCTTGCCAAACTGTGAAGATCTTGGATGCAAAGTTGCTTTTATATAAATACTACTGTTAAACCAAGGTTTTAATTAATATGTGTAGGATTGCAGCCTCACATTAGGATTTTTCATCTGGAAAAGATGGGAATTAGCAAGGTGACATTTAATGAAGCATGATATGAAATATGGAATATAGATTCTTGGGATGTCTCTTAATCCTTTTATAATGGGAAAAATCTGGCAGGAGGTACAAATTAAATACTTGAGTTCTGATTCTAATAGTTTTGCCCAGACTTAGTAACATGTGAGAGCAAATACATGGATATCAGTGGGACGAGTTGCTCTTTAAACTGTTACTACAATTAGTTATGGTTTTCTGGCCAGCGGCCTGAAAAATATCTGTTCAACCACATGGGTTACCATTAGATGAGTTCCTGGTGCTAGAATTCCCGGTGCTATTCAGACTTGAGGATGATTTGATGGAATGGAAATCTACTCATTGGTGGGATTCTGCACTTAAGAGACCCCAGTATATGTTGTGTGGTGGCTAATTGAGAATATTATTAATAATACATTAGTGTTTGTGGTCCTTTGAAAGATTGTGTGGCATGTGCAAATGTGCACTTGGATTAATGGCTGGCGGCACATGGCCAGTAAAGAGGTGCAGAGAATAGCATTTGTAGTAATGCAGCATTCCTGCACCTCCGCCACTCCTTTTTCTTAATCTCATCTTTCCTGTCAACAACTCTGTGGGATGGGGTAGGCAGTCTGAAATGGTATATATTGAGAAGGCAAAATCCTATGCATGTTAGACAGAACAAAAGACCTACAACTCCCAGCATGCCCCAAAGGTTCTAGGACTTTCTCTGTCTAAACATGCATAGGTTTGTGCTGTAAAGAACTTCAGTTTGTTAGATCATGAGAGCTGAGAGTTCATCATTATAGTGTATATTGCAGTTAGATTTTAAACTGCCAATAGCTGTAAGATTGATTCAAGAGATAGATGGCTTGAGAAGAGCTCCATTTTTAAAAACAGAACGTTCTGAAAAATCATTTTTATAAGCAGCAGATGCTATAAAGTGGAACTGGATAGTTTGAATCTGAAAAAAGCTGAGTGCAGTCCTGGTCATGGTGTGGGCCTTTTCTCCGTCTCAATATGCCCAGGATTGCGCGCATAGTCAATGGTGAGTTTTCTGGCCAAGTAAAGATTTGAACCCAAATGTTCCAGCTTGATGTCTGGCTTTCTAACAGCTATATTGGCTATCAAATAAAGATCAATAGATAAAGTAAATATAGTAGCAGAAGTTGCTAAATGACCTTTGTTTCCTGTCGCAGTAGTTTAACTTAAATGGAATGTTTGTACTTAAGCAATTCTTCATGGAAATTTCTATTAAAATTATGCAACTAGGGCTTTAAATCTCGTTGCTATTCTGATTACATATACGTATTCCTCTATGGTCTTGCATTTTAGCTGACAGAGAAATAACACTCTAACACGTAAGTAACTTATGACTGTGTTCTTTTGTAGACCACGAAAGCATTCCTTCCAAAAATGCTGGAACTGAATCATGGACATATTGTTACTGTTGCAAGCTCCCTCGGCCTATTTAGTACTGCAGGAGTGGAGGTTTGTTAGACTTCTTAAAAATATTATTGTCTTCCAAAGAAATTCATGTCACTGCCAAACTTACTACACAAATTTACAATGCAAGTATACTGTATTGAGTGAAATTTTTGATGGGAGCTCACACCTTAGGAGCAACAAAACTATTTTCTGTTGAAAATCAAGGTATAAATGAGTTAAATTATAAGTAGCAATATAACAACCAGCCACAATTATTTTCTTTCTAAAAATGGTTAAAGCAAAAGCATCACTACTGAGAGAATGAGAATAATGTGTTATAAGATTTTATATACATATCTCTGACAGGTAATTAAATGTACTAGAGGCAGAGGCAGGCTGTTTGACTAAGCTTACCACAGCTTGACGTGACTTGTCCATTTTCCCCTGCAAGTACCTCTTTCCCTCTTTCTTACCAGTAAATGAAACATCTGATGTCAGAAGGATGCAAAGCATGCACTTCTGTGTGTTCTATATTATACTGTGATCCCAGAATAGCTGGCATTTCCTCTTGTGTTACGAGAGAAGTAAGGTTCATTCATCAATAATGCATTTTCACTCATCACTAGATAATGCTAAAATTGCAGACAGCAAGAGATGATTTCAGTTAATTCTCAAAATAATGGATGAAATAATGGCCAAGTCAGACAGCTTATTAAGACAAGATATATATGAGTCTTGTGTCTTCATGCTGCTTCTCATACTGCCTCTTTCAGCCTCCCTTCTTAGCACACTTTCCTTGAGGACTTCCTGGGTCTTGATTAAACCATCCTTTGCTACTGAATCTGAAATAGTAAAGGATGGTTATAAAACCAGAACCCTAAACCAAGTTTAGCTCTGGTTTAAGTTTCTTGTTTGTTCAAAACTAGGCCACAGTGTACAGATGCAACAAGCATATCTGTTAATTACAGTAACGATAATTATAGAATAAAAACAACTATGAAACATTTCGAGAAGGGTGGACAACCCATTTTCTGTCAATGGGCACATTCCTTCATGTGTAAGATCTGCATGTCAGCGATAGGACAGACCGCAGTCCAAAAGCATGGTTTACTCCTTCTTCTCTCCCTCCTTACTTCCCATGCAGCAGACTCTCAGGGGAAGAGCCACATAAAATTAGGATTAGGACCAAAGGTTGCTCATCCTTGCTTTGAGTAAGAGGTAGAAAATAGTGATTCGGCTTCAGATTTAGTTGTTTTCTTAATTATCTGAGGCAGGAATCTATTATTCATTTCAAGATACAATCCACAGAAGCAGAATTCTGGCTGGATTGACTATCTATTACTTTGTGTTACCACTTGAAATACAGAAATATTTCTATATAAAGACAGACTGAAACAATGTTTTGCTTTCATTGAGGGATGTAGCTGAATGGTTCACTTCTTAATTTTGTTATATGTTTTTTTCATGCTCACTTCTTGTGTTACCAATCTAGGATTATTGTGCCAGTAAATTTGGAGCTGTGGGTTTCCATGAATCTCTGAGCCATGAACTGAAAGCAGCTGAAAAGGATGGCATTAAAACAACGTTGGTCTGTCCTTACCTTGTAGACACAGGAATGTTCAGAGGTTGCAGAATTAGGTAAGTAGGCCATCTAGAGTTTTCTCCCCTCTTCAGTCTTAACTAGAAAAAGATGATACAACTATATCAAATACTGTTGAAACAGCATGTTTTTGGTTTATTGCAATAGGAGGTTTGCCATGTTAGAAACATAATCATATATTTTTTAAAAAAATCATAACCTTGTTTATTTAATGGGGAAACAAATACAGGTAGTGCCTGGGTTACAAATGTCCAGGTTATGAACAATCCATGGAGAGGTAAAACATATACATACACTAAGACAAACTTTTGGCTTACTCATCCAATTCCACTTACATACAAATTCAACTTAAGGACATTGTCAGGAATGGAACTTGTCTATAACCTGGGGGCTACCTATATTTTATTTATTTATTTATTTATTTATTTATTTAAACATTTTTAGCATCGGGGCGGCTTACAACAATAAGTTAAAATAATTATAATATAAATCAAGAATATAAACATTAAATTAAAAATACAAAAATACGGTATAAAATAAGCTGCCCTATCTTTAAAGTCAAGTTGCAAAAATAGCTTGTATTGGTTAATGTCAAATACATAATTCCTCTTGAACGCAGTGGAAGAGTTAAGCACATACATCTATTTATTAGTTATATTTCTATGCTGTCTTTTTGAAGCCAACCAGAAAGTTTACAGAGATAGCAGCAAATTTAAAAAACGTAATTAGATTAAAATACAGGAAAACATTAAAAAAAGTTCTAAAAGCCCTAACAAGCATTTAAACAATCAAGTTAAAAAAACTCATTCTATAAGGGTCTCTTTAGTTAAAACAACATTGCAGCATTCAAGTGCTTGGGAGCAGATGCCCTCAAATTCCATGAGATGCTGCAGGTCTCAGTTTGTCTAGTTGTTTCTAAAACTGAGATTCTGACTCTTCAGAACTTTTACAGGAAACACATTAGAATGTAAACTTGCAATAGTGAAAACTTTTTAAATTTCTGTTTCACTTCTTCCGTATTTACAGTCAGGCACACATCCAGCCTTTTAACCTAAGCAGTTATTTTAGCATCTGTCTTGACCTTCCCAAATACAGAGAGACTGGGAACAGTCAGAACTCCAAAGGGGACTTTCCAAAGTTTGAGAACACAGAAAAAAAGCCTTTCCTGGATGCCTGGTCAGTGGGCCTATGCAAGTGAGGGTTTCTTCACACTGATCTTAATTAACTGAACAGGTGTATACAAAATAGGACAAGAACTGCATCATTTAAACCTTTGAAGTTTGAGACCAGAATCTTGAATTTAACCTAGAAAGTAGCTGGTAATCAATGTAGATCTGTCAGTGTTAGGATGATGTGTACCAGTTAGTAGCCTAACCGCTGCATATTGCATGGATGGAAGGTTTCGAAAGTCCTTCCTGGGTAGCCCTGTGTGTACAGCACATTGCAGTAGTCTCACCCTGATAATAACCAAGGCAGGGACAACTGTTACCAGATCTCTCCCTTTGGAATCAATGGGTCGAAAATGCTTTTAACTGTAGTGGTATCTTGTATCTACATGTACTTTTCTGTGAGTGTATTTCTAAAATGAGTTTGATGTACTTTTTTCAGAAAAGAAATTGAGCCATTCCTTCCACCTCTGAAACCAGATTACTGTGTAAAACAAGCTATGCGAGCTATACTTACAGACCAGCCAATGATTTGCACACCTCGCCTGATGTATATGGTCACTTTCATGAAAAGGTACTTATCAGGAAATACTGAGTTACAGTACTTAAACTGTGCAGCTCTCTCAGAGAAATGGGTAGACTGAATTTGGAGCACTTAACACTGAGACAGCTGTGTGAGTGTCATGAATCTGGACACTCCCAAGTTATTTAGAAGTACCTGTTGATATAAACAAATTGATAGCACAGGAGAGGCTATATAATCAGAACTTACATAGAAGGGGGGAACTTATTTAAAGAATGTCTCCATCCAGTGCACAACTGGATTCATGTCAGGATCTGTGTTACAAGCAGGGCTAGGATTCAAGAGATATTGGTGCTATAAGAGCACACGTAACAACATGGCCTAAACTGGTACAAGGCTTTTTTATTTCTGTCCATTTAGCCTAGTATTGTCTATTTCAGTCAGTAGCACCTCTTCTGGGTATCAGGCACAGGTATTTTTCATCAGCTGCCACATATTTATATCTATTGCTGACAAGCAATGAACCTGGGACTAAAACCTAAATCTGAATGAAAAGTATGTGTTTAATGATCACGCTATGCCTTGCACAACTCTCAAGCAGCATTTCCATAGAAACATCACTGTAGCAAAGTTTTGCTGTGTGAACAGAAACTGTTTCTTGTATTCACATGTTTCTTTCTTTGGAGAAACAAAGGAAGCATGATAGTCTGCATTGGTAGGATATATCTAAAATGGCAGGATAGTCCCAGCAAGAGCTGTTTGTTAGAAACAAAGAAGTTGGAAGCAGTATACACATTTGAAAGATTTCTAAACCAGGGACTTCCCATGCTGTAGACTGAAGCACAGAGTAATTTGCATCCAGAAGTTAGTGTGCTGTTAAAACATATTCACAGAAGTACCCTTCTGATTAAAATAATAATTTACTGATCAAATAGCTCATGCATGAAGTCATGTTGTATGATTAGAGTAGAAGAAACTCCTGTACCCCAATCCCGCAGAAATGAAGTCATTTCTGGTCCTAAATAAAGAAATTATTCATCTGGGTTTTTCAGGGGAAGGAGGGAGGGATTTCTTTATCCATTCATTTTCTGCATCCTAATTCTGTTCATGACAAAATACAAAAGTTTAAATCTTTTGACCTGGTAGTGGGGAGAAGAGGTTATTTTAAAAACAGCTACAGACCCCAGTTCTTCAAAAACAGAATAAAACTTTAATATTCATCCATATATGAAGAATAAGTGCATCAGATCCATAAGGTGTATGCCATAAGACACTATCAGCCTCCCTCAGCCTTGGCAGTTTTTGTGTGTCCAAAATTTTATAGTTCATGGAATCCCAGATGGCACCCATATTTAATAAATGGTCCCTTTTAAATATTTCACCCCTCCCATTCCTGTCCAGCTGCTAAGTTCTCATCATGTGGAATCCACAGTTAGGAATGGGGTGGGGAGCAAATATGCAATCTTAATTTGGGATATAATTTGGAGTTAATCAGTACTTCTTGCACTGTAGCATCGAATCTTGAACATTCCTCTACCCTGTGTCTTACCTTTTGATGATACGCATAACTTAATTTAATTGGCACAAGCTTCTGTGAAATTAAGCTAGTGGAGGTGATAGCAGCTGCATCCATTACTTCGGTATGACAGGGTCAGCTTTGACTGAAAATTCCACTGCCCAATGACCTTCCCCCTACCTTTGATGTCTTGGTATGCAGAAGCAGACACATTTTAGAGTTCATATGCACTCCCTGCATGAAATGTGGGTTGGCTAGGACTGAGAGCATTCTTGCTTTTCAACAGATGTTATAGATTCATAGAGGATAAGACTGATTGGGTACTAGTCATGATGGATATATATTACTTCCAGTACTGGGGCAATATGCTGCAGTTCAGTAGTTGATGGGGAACATGAACAGGAGGTTTCTGTAACAACTCATGTCATTTGCATGACCTTCCTGCAGGCAGCTGATCAGCCACAGTGTGAATAAAATGGCAGACTAAAGCGATTGTTCGTGTGACTGAGCATGGCTCTTCATAATTATGTTCAAATCTTTTGATGCTTCAGACTTAAAAACCTCTAAAACCGAGCAGCTATGGAAACAGGAGGTTTATTATACATTGGTTTTAAACCTGATAGTGATCAGCTTGAATAGTTAACGTTATTTTGTAATTATGTGGCATCAATGCCCTAGAAGTTTAGAAAGGTCTGGAGTGGGGGATAAGTAAGAGTAGATCTTACTAGAAGGGTTTCAGAACGGCAGTGCAGCACTCAAGTGCTTGGGAGCACATGCCCCCAAGTTCCGTGAGATGTTGTAGGTCTCCATTTGTCTAGTTCCCTCTAAAGCTGAGGTCTGACTCTTCAGAACATTTGTGGGGGACATGGTAGAATGTAAACTTCCTGTAGTGAAAATGTTCCTCATTTCCGTTCCACAACTTAAATATTTACTGACATACATGCATTCAGCTTTTTAACTGAAACAGTTATCTTTACTTGACTTTGTTTACTTGTGGAAGAGAAATTGCCACTTCAAAAGTAAATAAGCTGAAAATATGAGTTTCCATGACTACTTTGTTGCTTTGTTTTCTTTACTGCACCTGCAAAGAGGATAGTAACTGTAGGCCAAGGGTGAGGAAAGAGCCTCTTTTCCCTCTTTTTCCCTCTTCCAGCCTGGGGAAAGAGACCAGTTTCAGAGAAGTGTTCAGGGGCAACATTCCAGTGATGGGCAGGACCAAAGGCAAATGTGGTGCCAAACATCCCAACGTATTTTACTTAAAGTTGTCATTGCCAGTAACTAAGATGGAGGAGATTCAGTTCAATATATTAGAAAACAAGATTGAGGATAGACTGAGCAAAAGGGAAATCACCAGTTAATGGTTGGGGAAAAGATGGTGGAACATGGTAGAGTATGACCCTATGGCAGAATCCTAGCAGGGCTGGATTAGGATACCACCTCTGCTGTAGGCTGTAGTTCAACATTTGTTTTTGTAAAACGGAATCCTCTTTACTTTATCAACCATCTAATGTAAATTAAAGCCATCTAAAGTAATAGTTCTTAATGTCTTTCTCTTTTAGCATCCTGCCTTTTGAAGCAGTTGTGTGCATGTATCGGTTTTTGGGAGCAGATAAGTGTATGTATCCTTTCATTGCTCAACGAAAGCAAGCCACAAATAACAATGAAGCAAAAAATGGAATTTAACATTTTTCAAAGGACTGGTGTTTGCAGCTGAATTATGGTCAAAACTGAATGACTAAATTGTGAAATGCACTTGCGTTTAGCAAATGCAACTGTTAACATTGTACTGTGGCATTCTCTTGGATCCTATACCTGTATAGTGAAAAGAAAATCAATGTTTTTTCATACTGTATATAAAGTTATTAGAATTCTTGGAAACTATGACAGACAAAGCAAATGTATACATGTAGTGCTCACCCTTGTCTTTTTGAAACTTACTAAATGTACAGTAACATTTGCTACTCCTTTGGGGTTTTTTGTAGAGATAAACTATGTAAAGGTTGTTGTTTTTCCTGAGATGGTCATTCAACTAGAAGATACAATTGTTTCTGAATTCTTAATTTTCTTGTGATATTTTCTGTGTAATCATTTTATACAAATATGACCTAACAGGGCTGTGTTTGAGGGATTCTCTCAGCCTATGTGGAGCAGATAAATTTTAATGAAATTCTCCTGTGTAACAACTTCATATATTGAATCATAAATATTTCTTAATTCACCAAGAAAGTGTATGCTTTTAGGAAGTTTTCAGAATGGAGTTATATGGGATACATCTTGACCACAGCCCCTAGCCCTTTTAAAATTAACAGTTTTTAAAAGCCAGCCTTTGCATTTGGATGGGAAAGATGTACCTACATTATTATTGCAGTCTTTCTACATTTTAAGATAAAAATATTTCCCCCTTCATCATCGTCTATTACTGTGAGATAAGATAGATAAAAAAAATGTAAATCTTCGTTCTCATTCTAAGAAATGTGAGGAAAAATAATGCGGAATGCAACTTGAACATCGGAGTATGGAAAACAGTGTAAACACTTCTTTTTCTACCAAAAAAGTGGTGGGGGGGGGGGATTTGCAATGTAGAACAGAAAAGAAATTTTTTTACATTTTTTGTAAGAACAATTTTGTGCCTTGAATTTGGTAATCTGTATTAGTGGAATATTGTAAAGGTGAATTGCTACCTCTGTATCTAAATGTATACCATCCACTTGTAAATTTACTATAAAAATGAATCCTGTGGTGACTTTTTTAGAATGTCATGTTAAATAGTGACCAATTTTTGTGGTTATTAAAGTGAGCCACCTTGTTCTTTAAACCATGAATTGCACGTGTTTTAAATGATGCCAATAGTATTTAGGGGCTAAGCAGGACTGCCAAGGGGGATCTTTTAGGGGACATTTATTCATAGGGTCACCATAAGTCAGAACAACTTGGCAGCATATTAGAACAACAGCGAATACCTAAAATTTAGCTGGGTGATATTAGGCAGAAAATCTGGAGTCAAAGGTTTATCACTCCATGGCAAAACAATATCCAATGTCTGCTTTAACAAAGGAAGGTCATGGTGACTCAAATGACTGCTCTCAGCAGTCATTTTGAAATTGAAAAGGATTGGAAATGGGGATAAATTTCAAGCTTTTAGAATGGGAAAAACCTGCACAAAAGCAACAAAATCACTAAATAATTGATGGCTGGGGAAATGGAGTTGTGGGACCACTAGAAGAAGCCCAGAGGGCTAGATTGGGATTCCAAGAGGGCCAAATTGGTTCCCTTGGCCTGAGACTATCCCGCCCTGCCAAATACAATTGCATTTGTGGGAAGTGTTGGATAAACTACAAACAGCACTGTTAGCTTGTACAATGAGAATAGTAACACAACATTCAGTTTTAGGAGCAATGCATGCTAGTTAGAGGCAGTTTGACTAAAAAGAAGTTCCAAATCAGCTTACTTTTTTTTTAGTCCTTTCATACACATTGTTAGAGAAGGCTAACTAACACAGTTTAGTGCAAGCACCTTCTAAAGCTTGGTGTATGCAAAAGAAAAAATATTACCCATGGTTACTTGCTTTTATCCTGGAGGAGGCCCACCTTGTTTACTTCTTGGTTACGAAGAGAGACTAAGCAAAAGGAAGAGGAAAAAGGAAGTGAACCAAGTCACAGGACGCTTAGAGGATGAGCTTGATATTCTCTGTCATCCCCTAGTGCCTAGAAACATGAGGCATTATTTCTCTTATTCAACAAGAAGGACCATTGCTCATTGATAGGGTGCAGGTGATTTGCTTTGGCTTCAGTCTCCAGATGAGGTTCAGAAAGGATACTGTCTGAAACCCTACCAGTGTAGAATATTGTGCTAGGTTGGCCAATTGTCTACCTGCTAACTGCAAGTTGCTTTATTTCTATGAATGGTAGCCAGTCTGTTACAAATTCCTCTGCTTTAATAGCAAGCAATATTACAGATCAAGTACAATGTAAAGTCCAATGCATCTGTATTGAGAAGTCAGTCCTACTGAGTTCAGTGAGGTTTATTCCCAAGTAAATGTGCATAGTGTTCCTTCCTCAGGCTGCATATTAATCTGTAAAGTGGCACCTATTCCCATGCCTCTGTAAAATGGGAATTAGGACTTGATTTGAAGTAACAGAACTTAGTGACTGGGAAGGGTACTTTTCCTATTACAGAAGCCAGTTGCATAAAATATAATAATAAACATTGAATATGCAGTGTTTCAGAGACAGTGAAAGTAGATATGTAAATATCTGCTACAACTAACATACTTCAAAATTAAATGTATTGGTGATATCTTTTCTTGGTAATTGTTTGGCCCATTCTTTTTATCCAGTTTTGAAAACTACCAAAGATACATCTACTAATTTATGAACTTGCAAACACCCAATAGGCAGTTTCCTGAAAAGAGAAAGAAGAGGGTAGAAGAACTGCACTGTAAATTAGGCCTATTCAGTTCTTTTAACCCTTTGGAAAACCAGATATGGAAAGTGTGTCTGGGGATAAAAGAAAACAAATGCCATTAATCAATAAAAGGACATAGTCAAATGTTTCAGCACTTTTGAAAAATGCATACCATAATATAAAATTGTTGCCACATTTTACAGTTATCATGTTTATACTTGGATAGTGCCAGCACGAGGTGGTAAATTACCTGAAAGCACCTGTAAACCCACTGAGTAACTTTCTCAAACCCCTTGATTGGAGGTGCAGCGTGAGGCAGGGAAATCTCATGAGCCAAACGCATGTGGCACTTAAACAAAGATTACTGTGTTGCCCGAGTATTCTGTATTTGGAACTGGAGTCAAAGTATGTGGTTGTGGGTATACTAAAATTCTGTCTAAAGACAGGAACATTACCACAAATTGGTATAATTTCAGACTTGATGGCTAAGTTAACAATGGGACTACTTTAATCACCACATCTTCCCCCAATGAGTCATCATGCATGTTTGTAGACAATCTTCCCAGCCTTGGTCAATCACCAATTCAGTTCAAGCAGAAAAAAACACCCTGCCCTGTGTCACAAAAAGCTGTAGTACACATAAAAGGCAAGAAATAATTTCTAAATGATTGCATACATGATTATGATTTGATACAGGTAAATGAGTAAGCTATAAATGATTGAAGTTGCAGTCTAATACTTCAACACATTGAGCCTTACATATGAGTAGACATGTGCAAGATTGTGCTGTACATTTTCCACTCTTGCTGCCCTGTTTGGAAAATGTAATCCTTTGTTTAAAGATAATCCAACTGTAAATAGATTTGGAACTTAGATTGAACCTCCATAGTAAATGAACTCACTAACAATATTGAAAATTACAGGCTATATAGTACCCAGTTAGTCTATTACCAATTTCAAGGGGGATTACTTGCTAAAGAATTTCACCATTTGTATACAACTACTTACTGACTGAAAATAGGCAAATGAATGCAACAAGTTTTGGAGATGTAATAATAAAATATTTATCTCAGTAATTAGTTCATCTATATAAATGTATATTGGCACAAATCTATTGTATAAAACCAAGAAGAGTTCTACCAGGTGAAGAACCTAAAGGAAAGATCAAGCAGAAATAAGAAGCAATGTCAAGATGTAATCATCAAGGTGCTAAATGACAATGTATACAAATTCTGAAGAATTACATCAAAGAAAAGAGTAAGAATATAAAATTATACAAAAGTGGATTATATCTGCGTGCTAAAATCCATATATGCAGCCAGTTTTCCAATTACCTTTAAAATGCAATGAGTGTTAGTCAATTTTAGATAATAATTGCATTTAGATAAATGTGATGCATTTAGATAAGAAATGCATCACAATGTACTGTTTCTTTTCACATATATTGGAACCTTATTAGTGACCAGTAGTCCCAAAACTGCCTTGAGTTCTTTGCAGGAAAATGGCAGGATATAGATGTTATAGATATGCAGAAATTATCTGGATTGGGTCCAGTCATATTTAGTCATGTTTTGAATAAACTTATTGAAATGAATGGGATTTACAGAATACAGATGGACCCTTTTTATTTGAGTGGCCAGCCAAATCATTTCGCATGGAAAAGGTGTGCACAGTCACATGAGAGTTGTTTGTTTATTTTGCCAGGATTCTATGTGTATGGCAGCTGTCATTTGCTAAATGTCTTGGTGGATTTAAAAAAAAAAAACCACTTGCAGCTGTTTAAAAACACCAGTGGTTTGACTATATCTTCTGTTAAAAAAAAAACAACGCATTTGACGTAGAGTTCTCACAAGTCAGAAGAACAACAAAAATTCATTGAACTAACTGGCAGTGAAATTCTATGCATCTCTAGGCAAAAATAAGCCTTACTGAATCCAATGGGGCTTACTCCCAGGTAAGTGTATAGGATTGCAACCTATGTGTTCTTAATTCTCAGTACAGAACCCTGTTTACTCAGGTTGGCCAAACAACTTAGCTAATACTGTTTTAAAATAATGATTTCTGCTAAACCTGTCATGGGCTTACACATTCAGGGGCCTGGATAACTGGATCCTTTGTTTTCTTAATCCAATTAAGATCCTGTGTATAGCAGCAACATTGGGGAAAGAACTAAAGCTTAGTGATGAGCAAAAGCAGTGGTCTGCAACTAAGAAGTCAAAGAGGAGCATTAGGGGGTCTAAAAATCTGCAAGACATTCTCAAAATAGTAACGTGCTCTGAGTTCTTTGCTTCATTAGCCACTAAGGCTTCTGCATTTTCTGAACATCCACATTCCCTGTTACAGTTGACATTTTACTGTTCTGGAGGGAGCAGTGGGTGGACAGAGTATATTAAAGGGATAATAAAATATGCCTGCATCAAAATCTATATTGGTTTTATATGAGTTAACAGCATGATGTCCCAGATTCTGGAACTACAGTTACATGGCTCTCTTTCTTTTATTCACATACGCACACACAGTGGCAGTTCATTGCCTGAGCTCTGTGAAAAGAAGCAATGACTTTTAAACCTATTATCACTAAACTGGATATTCACAAAGAATCTGCAAAGTGATGGCGGTACATATTTCAGCTGATCTTTCTTTGATGTATGCTACAGTGGTAATCACACACAGGATTAAAAGGAATGGGTGGAGACCGCAGACATTCGCCGGGGTGTGGACATAAAGGATGGGTCTTTCCATAAAGGATATCTGTTCCTGCATCCTGGAAATAAAAGTTCTAATATGCAATGTTGTACACTCTTACTGGAGAATAACCGTTATTGAACTCAGTTCAACTTATTTCTGGTAGATATGCATAGAATTGCTCTATTAGGAACCTATCATCTGTCCATCTATCAGAAACGTGGTGGATCTTTGAACCAAAGGTCCATCTTGTCCAGAATTCTGTTCACACAGTGGCAGCCCAGCTGCCCATGGGAAACCAATAAGTGTGACATGAGTGCTAGATCGACTTCTTGTTTATGTGCACTGGTGTACACGGGCATATTAGCTCTGCTACTGGAAGCAGCATATAGCCAGTCATCATTGGTAGCCTTCTCTTCTATGAATTTACTAAATCCCTTTTACAGGCATCCAGTCTGGTGGCCACCTCTACATCTTCTGGAAGTGAATTCTATAATTTAACTATATACTGCATGAAGAAATGCTTTCTTTTATCTGTCAGTAAGCTAGCTTCATGAGAAGATCCTGCTATTAAGAGAAGGAAAGAAAAACATTTTCCTACCTACTTTCTCTATGCAACAGATTATTTTGTACACCTCTATCATGTCTCAACACACGCAGCCTTTTCTCAAGCTAAACAATTCCAGATATTCTAACTTTTTCTCGTAAGAGGGTTGCTCCAGCCCC